TCAAAAAAGTAACAGAAATTAAAAAAAAAAAAAAGGAAAAAAAAATTCAAAAAATTTAAATGAAAAAAAAAAAAAATAAAAAAAATTAAAAAAGGGAAAAAACCCCCCCGGCCCCCCCCCCCCCAATCTAAGGCTTGACGGGGTGTGGCGTGGGGTGGGGCGAGGCGAGGTTTGGCGAGACCTGCTCTGTTGCCATCCCTAACGACAACCATAAAAGTGTGTCTTTATCATTTTATCTAAATTGCAAAATTTTACGACGTTACAAATAATTCATTTCTCGTCTTAATTATCACCTAATCCAAAGAATTCACAATATCAGTTGAAAAAGAATAAAAAAAAGGAAAATATGTCATCGAATTTTTAAGAAAAGTGAAAAAGTATAAAGATCTTGCATTAAAAATATGCGTTCTTCTTATAAAAATCTTGAAACTCTAGTTTCTTAATTGATTTCTTGATTTTTCAGCCCCATTTTTTGTAATTAATATGAATTTTGAATCCCAACCCTTTGACTTGTATAATATGTGCATAATGAATCCCCACAAGTCTTCTATTAATTCTAGGACGAATGTATGTATTTATAGATCAAAAAATGAGGTAAAAATCGTGGTCAAATTGCACTTCAAGAAGAATTCTACATAAAAATAGGGAAACCATAAAATTACAGTCGAAGTCCATGAATTTTTCCTGTTATTCAGTTAGGTCCCCAAATTCTTCTATTTTTCAACCCAGGTTCTTCTTTAATTGTAACGTAAATCCTTTACATTAACATCTTTATAATTTGCACATCATTTCAAATTCATAAAATATTGATCCAATGCAAGTTTTGAAAGTTTGTATTTAGTCCTCAAACTTTTCAAGTATCGAATTCACCTCTTAAAACTGATGAAATTTTTCAGATTGATTCACTACTTCTTCCAATTGATTGATTACAATTTGGATCACCTTCAATTGCTCCAAATAAACTCCAATTTAGATCCAAATAGTCATTTTTCATATTGATTGTATGCAAGTTGAAATTTTTTCGATAATATAAATAACTTACATAAAATCGGTAGATAATTTACGTATAATTGAATAAGAATAAAAGTCCGGACTTATCATATTTTGCCCATTTTTGTTGTTTAAGATTTTGAAATAGAAAAGAAGGAAATTTTAAGGTCAAGATGTGAAACATAGCGTTTTGCAAATTTTACCTTCTGAAATGCATGTAAAAATATGTAGATTGAACTAAATGTTGGAGATGAATATCCTAGAGACACTAAATATTGGGGACTAATTGGTTAATTGCAAAAATTTATAAAAAGAAAAACAAAAAAAGGAAGAATTAAATTTCTCAAAAGAAACATTAATAGGAATAAATAATAAGCCTCTGTTTGTCTATCATTAAAGTAGAAAATTGGGTTCTGGAATAACGGATTTTTGTAGAATATGTGGTTGAAAATTTTTTTTTTAAGTTTACGCGCAAAATACTTTATTATGAGAAGTATGTGTAGTTGAAGTGAGTTTGTATATCACGATTATCCTTCCCAAGTCCACACCGTAGACCTACCTAGGATCCACATCCAACCTCCATCGTCTCATCATATCGTAAAGCATCAAATTACCCAAAGTTCCACACCTTACTAGGCCCTTCTTCGAAATCTTGTCAAAAATGGGTACCCACTTTTTACTGTTTACACTCCTTTCCTTTCAAATTGTCAAAAAATAAAAATAAAATAAAATAAAAATAAAACAAACGGAAGATAGAATGATGGTCAATAGGGCATCGATTTGTTCTTTATTCCGCTTCTCCAAAAGTTTGTATTTGTTTTGTATGCGAGTTAGGTGCTGACGAAAACCATACTTTTCTCTTGTGAGAATTTTAGATAACAATGACTTAATAGTCTTGGTCGGTATTGAGATTTTCATGAAAAATCAATGTGTTAAAAGGCTTTGATGCTTCAAAGTTCGTATTATTTAGGATGTTTGCATTGTTTAAAAGTTCTCATTTCGTTGAAGCTACTTACTACTTCCCAGTTCCCATGAGACCAAAACTTAGGTACCAATTTATTCTAAAAACTTCTAACTTGCATAAAAAGAAAATATATTTCTAAGAGGAAAACAGAAATAACGAATTGCATCCAGATGGTCTCTTTCAAGTCTCATCTTTATCCTTGACATCGTCTCCTTTGTTTTTCTCTTGTGGGACCCCCTGAATTATACACAAAATAATAAATCCAAATTATTGGATATAATATAAAGATAATTAGCATAGTATAAAGATATTTTTGGGCTATATTTTTTAAATCATGTTTGGCTAAGCTTCAAGATAAATAAGCTTTTTTACTTTAAAATATATTTGGATGAATTACCTTAACAAGTTCAGCTTGGACCTACATAAGCAGTTTTTTTTTTTTTTCGTAAGTTTAGTCAAACACTCCAACAATCATCTGCTAACCTGATCTTGTGAAGAAATATCTGATTGAGATGACATAATCTGGTTTTTTTATCCTTCTTTCCCCCACTGAACTCTATAATATTTTGACCAAAGAAATCAAAATCAAAATTCTTGAACAAAAATATCTTTATATATTTGAAAGCATAATCGAGGGTACCATTTCTTTATAATATTCCTCATCCATTATTGATATAAATAGAGTATATATTACTAAGAAAAACTCAAATTGTTGCACTTCGCCATTGAGACTGAAGTCCAAGCACACATGGCAACCACGTGGAGGCATAAGTTAAAAGAA